AGTTCCATAAGTGTAAATGAATTATTATTTTTCAATAAAATGGACTCTTACTGTACAAACTATCTGCAATCTACTATAATTTAAGTAACCCAGCATTTATATTTTTCAAACTAAACCATATTTCTAAACATTTAATGCACTCTGACATTTTCTTACTACTAAGGGTAGAGAAGACATAATCAATAAAAATTAATTAAGAGATCAAAAATAAAATAGAACAAAATATAAAACATTTTGAAAAAAGATTTTAAAAGGCTTAAAATATTAAAAGTTTGCAATACTTCCCATAATGCTCCCAAATTACTAATATCTGAACTAACTGGTAAATGAGAGCATCAATTTTCAACCAACTCATTAGAATGCTTAATGAAGTTAAGTCAGGAATTAAGGACCGGAATACAAGAAGCTCAATAAAATGCTTTACTGCCCAATAATACAAAGCTTAATAGACCAAATGACTGCACATGTGTTTCCAGAATTTAAAGATTAGACCAAGAAACGGAGCATAACAAGAGGGCCAAGAAGAAAGAAGGGCTAGGTGTTATAAACTGGAGTTCAATAAAAGGCAATCTTCAAAAAAATGTTGAACCGTGAGCATGAAAGCAGCAAAATTCAGTTTGCGGAGAATTCTATAAGTCGAATGGCCCAGATTCTTCAACAGATAAATTAATAATAACAACAACGACAACAACGATGACGACAACAACCACCAGGAGGCTAAATCTATAAATTAAGACCTATCACAATTTTTCAAATGGGTAATACTAAATGGTGACATCTAGTAATGCATACTTGGATGATTAAACCATAAAAAATGCAAGAAAGTAATTACTGTCAAAGCCAGGGGGATGGTTACTTACAGGGGAGGGAAGGAGCTACAATGGGAATGAGGCACAGACGACATGTGCCCCTAGGAGGGCATGTGCCTCTAGGATTACAGAAAAATTATATTTCTTTATCTGGTGGTAGTTCCAAGGGTACAGAATGATAGCTCGGTGTTCTATATAATCAATCCCTCATAATCCAAAAAGAAGCTGAATGAACACAAAACAAAGGAAGTGGAGAGAAAAGGACTGTGCCAGAATCCATGAGTGTCAGGCGCAAACAATGCGGAGGGATTCTATTTTCAAGATATTATTTTCTTTCCGGTATTTTCCCTTTTTCGTATCCATTCTACCACAGTGGGATAATATAGGGGCACCATCTTCAAATCAAGAGATTAGGACTTCTGGAGAAGAGGCATAGCAGGGCTGCATAACAGGGAAGGGATGGGGTCTCAGGGACACTTGGTGAGGTTATCAGAGTGCCTGTGAGTTAAAATCTCAAAAACAAGGTAGGGATTTCCTTGAAGACTGAAAAGGAGTACCCCACACAGAAGAGAAAGGTGATGCTGCTGGCAGATCCTAGGAAAAGAGGCCGAGGATCCCATTGCTCAGTCAGAAAAAAGAAGCAATGAGAAATTAGAAAGAAAACGTGATCGAGATACTGCCCCCAGGGATGGTGCCGAAGCATTATAATTTCCGCCAAGAATATAAGTATATATAAGGTTAAAGGTTACTCATTCACACATCTATTCTTAAAGAACAGGGAATTATATATTTTGTTGTTGTTGTTGTTGTTGTTGTTGTTGTTCCTGGAGCTAATTCTGCAAACAAAGAATATTCGACAGCAGTCATCTTGAAAGCACCTCAAGTACATACACAAAACAATTAGACACACTTACAAATTAGGTGTTTCAATTACCTCATTGACCTCTACATCCAATTTTCAGAATATGGTAAGTAATATACTGTCAGACAGTATATTATTATGCTGTATATTATACCTAATCCTCACAATAATCCAAAACAACGGGTGTTTTTATTCTTACTTTACAGATAAAGAAACTGAGACTCATAGAGGATAAATTATGTATCCAGAGATACACAATCAGAACAAGTTGTAGGCCAGAATATTTGCTATGCATTCTTCTCTTTCCTCTGTTCCATCAGTTGCCCACAGAGACCAGGTATGGTCCACTGTGTGTCTGCCTGCTCCCAGGGCACAGCCTTCTAAAATGAATCCATTTGCCCTGGCCTAAGGGAAATGTGACCACTAGTAAACCTGCTCCAGGAGAAGGGTTGTTAGAGAGGGTGTCCCATAGGACATGCTGTTTTTCATTCTTAGCAACCAGAGGGTTCCTGCCACAGGGCAAAGCCCAGGTTCTTATGCTGAAGAAAAGGCAGTGTGAGCCTGAGACCTGCCATTAGTATGAACCTCTTAAACACTGACAGTCTTTCTTTCCATCTTTCTGACCCAAAAGGAAAGGGGACGGATGCTGCTGTCATTTCATTAAGCTTAGAGCCACATTCCAGGTCCTCTCCAGCATTCTTCCTGTGGTTCCTGCATAGACCCGCAAATGATGCTGCTCCAGGTCGCTTGTGGACATTCAATATTATTTATGGCCCAGTAGGAGGCAGCATGGGCCAAGAGTTAGGTGTAAGGGCTGTGGGCTCTGGAGTTAATGCATCTGGATTGAATGCTCAGAGCCTCCGGCTTCTTAAAAAATAAATAAAGCAGACAATAATATTTCCCCTTCCATTGACTTGTTAGTGATTAGTGATTAGGGAGGGTCAGATAACATAGTGCTTGTAACTCAACATAACAGATAGTAAGTGTTTAAAAAATATTAGCAATTCTATCCTAAATGAGGGACAATCTACTGAGTGATAAATTTGCCTGCAGTGGATTTCATTTAAATGATGATAAAAAGGAGTATATAAAAAGTGAAACAGCTACAGAGAGAAAGAAAATGGATAGGTAAAAAGACCAAGAAATTACCCAGAAATTTTGTTCCTGAATGTCATGGTTTTAATTTTATTACAATATACAAGACTTTTGACAATATATAAGTGTAAGCTTTTCAACAACAACAACAAAAAATCTGCTCCCTTCCATTAAAACTTGTAAATTGCTTTCATTTTAGTAGTGATTCAACAAGAATCAAAGCTGAATAAAATAACAATGACTTTGCAGGCTAAATGATGTAGAAGGTTTATGTAATTATTTCAAACCTTAGGGGAAAATATTAGCAGAAGCCAAAGAATTCTTCACTTTAGTGGAATTAAAATTTGAATCTGATGTAATTAATTGCCTAAACTCTTGTATGTACTATGGCAAGATCGCAAACTGTATCAAAGCATGAAGACTAGAATAAGCATTCTTTATCTGCAACAGGATCCCCTATGATGTTACTACATAATATATAACGTGTAACAGAGATTCTACAAGTTTGTTTAATGCAGGCTTATCATTTAACATTACATCAAATGTCACCTTGCATGATCTTGTTATCTATACCTTGAAATTTACTAAGTCTGAGAGATATATAACCTGTATTCTTTTAAGATGTCATAGCAAACATTTGACACAATTTGGTATTGTTAGATATATTATTACCTCATCATCTGCTCAAGAATAACAGCATCCCAAGCCTTCTGGTATCCTCCAGAATATAGTTTTAAGATTAAATTCACACTTCACTCTTCATATATGGCAACTACTGAATTCCCCACAAGCTACAGACATGCCTGGTTACAAGGTCACATGCTTAATTTAGGAAAAATAGATACCTTTTTTTTTAAGTGTCTGTCGGAGTTCTGATAGAGTGTGTGGCTTTAAAACAGAAATTAAGGTTAAAAACAAAGCAAACAAACAAAACAGTGCAGGACTAAAGTAGTAAGATACAATTATACTGCCTATCCCTGCCTCAGATAAAGAACCCTGACATATTATTAGGAACTTAGTGCCAGAATTTTATGCTATATAATGAAAACAATAATAATGCAACTTTATATATATAAAAAAATTTAAAGAGGATCCAGGGCAATTGTGGTGGGAACATTCCTTGGGACTCTAAAAGGAAGAAACGAAGTGTTTCTTGCAGCACAATAGTTCTTGCCTTGCCAACTCCTGTGCAAATTCCCTGCTCTAAAAATGACTGATCCGCAGGGAAGCTAAGCCAGTGTACCTGACGCACACCTGTTGCTCCCAAAGCCCCCAGAGAGTCTCAACTCAACACAGCTTCATTAAGACGTATTCGGTACAATCCAAAAGGGTTACTGATGCAAAGAGGAGTTATTCCTGGAGGAACACTCCTTCTGAAAGGTCAACAACTAACTAGTTAGTGAAAATACTTGAAGAGCAATGATGACCTTCAAAGCAGGGATTCTTAACCAGAGATTCATGGAGACGGGTAAGGAGTCTGGCTTGAAATCTTCGGCAAACATCCAAACGTGTACTTTCAGTTGAATTTGGATGGGAAAGGGGTTCGGAGTATTTCATCATACGTCCAAAGCAATCTGACACCCTACCTTCACAAAAGCTGGTGATTATGGTTTTATAGTAGGACCAAATGACACCCAAATTAAAAAGTTAGTTTGGGGGGGTTCTGCTGCCACGATGTCTTCTTTAAACAACTGACATCCCGGTCCCCCACTCCCGAGCTTCAGTCTGAAGTACATTAGGGCATCACTCACTCTATAAGACCAAGGTAGCCTCTTCTAAGGTCTGTTTACAGAGTAGTGGGTGGAGGTAGGAGGGCGGGGCGTGATGCGATGCATGTCCCAAAGTATTAGCAAAATCATCTTTCTTTCAGGGAAGGCATCCCCACTGTGTCTAGGGACACAGGCATCAGCGCACCAAGCAGTGAAACCCCAATATGCGTTTTACTTAACAAACCCGCATAGTGCGCATTATGTTCCAAGCGCGGTTCTCTGCTCTTTATCTGTTAACTTGTTTAATTCTAAAAAAAATAAAAATAGAAATAAATAACTCTAAAAGGTGCAGAAAGGAGTGCAAATATCCACAAAGAGGGGGACTTACCACCCACCCCAGCCGCCTTACAGGGAAACAGCCCTCCTCCTCGTCCCCCCGGCCAACCAGCACCGGGGAGATTAAATAAAACCCGCGTGGGAAGCGGTTAAAGACTAAAGACGCAGCCGCGCCAGGCGAGTCGTTACCGTCCACCGGGCACTCGCGGTCCGGGTCGTTGCTCATCGCTGCTCCCAACTCCGAGCTGCCCCGGGCGCGGCTCCTGCGATCTAGGCGGCAGCCGCGGTTGCTGAGGCAATGCCCCCCTTGGGGATCCGCAGGTGCACCCGGCAGCCGCTGGGCGCGAGCCACTACAAAGGGAGGGACCGAGACGCGCTCCGCAGTCCTTTCACTTTGCCATTCGAGGCTCCAGTGTCAGCCTCCTGAAGACCTTGACTCTGTTAATACTTGTGCGACTGACCGCAAGCCACTGACTTGACCCGGGGCCAGGGTCCCTCTGCCCTCTCTGGGAAGCGGCGGGGACAGTGCGTAGGGCTGTGGGTAATTTGCCTGAGCAGAAGGAATAGGCAGGGAGAGCCCCTGCAGCCTCCCTAGGGTAGAGACTGGGCAGGGCAAGCCAGTGAGTCATGGCCTGTGATCTTCCCAGCTTTTTGGAGTAACCACCTCTCAGGGTCTGATCTGGCCTGAGAAGCCCTAAGCTAAATATGACGCCTGCTCCCCGCCACCAGCTCAGGAAACCTATTTCAGGGCATCTGAGGTGAACAGAATCTGCTCCTACCTATTCATTCAGTACTGCCTTGACATTTAAGAGTTCTACAAGCGAATGAATTCCTCTTCCTGGTCAGATTTCAGACTTTTGCCTCTGCATAATTCCAAGTTTACAGAAGGGAAAGCGGGGTAGGCACCTCATTGCTAGGTGGTAATGAGCAAAAGGAGATGGTGAGTTAGAAAGGTGAAATATCTGTTTGGATTTTAAACTAAAATTTTTTCAACACTATTTCTTCCAGCAAACCCCAGGATGTTGGGTGTTAGCCATGTTGCTATTGTAAATTTAAATTTAATCAGTGAGTGCTGCTTTTTTGTCACTTCTCCAACAAGCTTTATGTTTAAAGTTAAGTTCCCTTAGGAGCTTTTAACTTAGGCTGTTGATATGATAGAAGCAATCAGTTAATGCCACTTCAAAGCACATTTATGACAACTACATGAAGGAACTGCATTTGTAATCCAGATCCTTCGACAGGCTGAAAAAAAAATCCTGGTTTACTTTTGCATGGAGCCTAGCATCATTACTTAGCAGCTGAATTATTTCCTCTGGCTAGCATTATTCAAGTCCGCATCAGTGAAGACAGTGCACGCCTATTCTCACAAATTAGAACTGATTATTCCTAATATGCCTGCAACTAGAATTATTAAAAATATTAAAGTTAAAACCCCACAAATTTTATAGTTTCTGAGACCTCCTCCCCATCTACTCTTTTGTCTTCAGTTTCACTAGATAAGGGACTGAGATCTAGTAATAAAAGTATAAACAAGAACGTCAGGAGTTAACCTCTGGTAACTCTATTAAAAAAATACTTGACAGTATACATTCTGGAAGTTGTTTTTCTGTTTGTTTTGTTTATTTTTATTTACTTATTTTTTAGCATTATAATAAATGTATCCTCTCTAGCACAGAACAGTGATCAGTGTCAGCTGCTGGGAAATTATCTCTCTCTGTGTGTGAGACCAAGCAGGACCAGCTAGGACCACAGACATGTCAAGTTCCACACCTGCACAAGGAATTCTCCTGCTTCCTCACCTCCTTGTCCCATCCAGAGAATGTCATTCAAAATTTCTTAGAGTGAAAACAAGAAACTGCTCTATGAGCTCACCTCTTACTGGCTTATCTCAATTTCCATATTTATTCCTAAACAAAGGCATTGTATTCTTCAATTACTGGGTACTTCTCTCCTACCAGTTACTAAGGATTTAAAAAAAAAATTCTGCCTTCTGAATATCTTAATGCAGTTGAGAGAGACAAGCTTAGAGACAGCTAGCCTTTCTTATATATTTTATGTTCCTTGAAAGATATGGGGCATCGAGGACCCATAGATGAGGGCATGGCTAACTCTATTTGAAGGATTAAGAAATGTTTCCAACCAAAAGTGACAGTTTTCACTAATGGTAGTTGCTATCATCTTTAAACATGTATTATAAACTGGGCACTGTGCCAAATGCTTTTCATACATTCCCTCTTATAATCCTCATAAGAATGAGAATTATTATTGTTCCCTTTTTACAGATGGACAAACAGAGGCTCAGCTTACACAAACACTGAAGTGAGGAGTTTCGGACCAACGATTAGAGTGTAGCTCTTTGTAATCACAAAGCTTGTGCCTAATTTCTACACTGAATTACAATGATTAGCAAAGGCACTTTCCACAATCTGTAGCAAGAGTTTTTTACCAAAACCTTTCAGAAAAGTACATCCTTAGAGAGTATAAATATTTGGAAAATGAATACAAGTTTATCATATTGAGGGGGTTGAGGAAATGAGGTAGAGTACTAGTTTTTCAGGCAGAGGCACCAACATGGGCCAAATGTTGGCATCTGAACCATCATCGGTAATTGGGTCAGTGTTTCCTAGAATGGGTAGTGGGAGCTGGTAGTGTCCAGAGATAAGGGAGGGGAAGGGAGTAGGCCCCAGGTCCTGAAAGACCTATAAACTATGTTTAGCTAGACTTTCTCCTATAGGTAATGAAGACGCAGAGAAGGGTTTTAATCTGGGGCCAGATGGAAAGAGGCAGTAGCATACAGAAGACGGCCGGAGGCAGGGGTGGCCATATGGTGAAACCAGAACCCAGGAGACCAGCCATAATAATCTAGGTGAGAGATGGCAAGTGCTGCCACCAGGGCAGAGACAGTAAGAACTGTGAGGAGGGACATGCGGTAGGCAGTAAATGGGAAGTGTGCAAAAGCTGTACATGGGCCCCTGTCTGCTTTTCCACTGTTGAAGCCACAACCCAAAATGTCAGGCACCAATCAGGAACAAGGAACTGTTAAATGAATGCATCAACAGGACTCGTGTTGTGACTAGATCTGGACATGGTGGAAGAGTGTCTAACAGGATATCTCATCTCTTAGTGTTTTCCGGAACTCTCTAATCATTAGACTCACGTAGGGCACTTAACTAAAATTACAGATTCCTGGCACCTTCTCTCTAATTCCTAGGTCTTTGGTGGGAACCTGAAATCTATATTTTTAACAAGCACTATTGATTAATGATGAGAAACTAATTATTAATTTGGGAAATCCTGCTAGATTGATTAAAAAAACCATTAGCCAGGAAGAACAAAAAAGGGTGCTGTTATGTCAGTGAGATAACATGATGTGATCTGGGGATTTGTATTTCTTCTTCTGTTTTGTTTAGAAACATACCTAGGCATTCATATTTGTATACTACAGGACTTACATTATGATTATTTATGACACTGAAAGAAATATATGTCTATGTTGTAAGTAGTGTGGCTCCCACCTGCTATTAGAACCCCTGGATAATATGCTAAATTTTCTGGAAAACCCGCCATTGGCTTGTGCTTTGGGTTTGATCAGAAAGGCGGTGAAAATATTTCTGGAATGTTACCTCTTGGAATGTGATCAGCAGATCAGTGCTAGTCTCAGAAGTGCTCATAACTGGTCCACAAAAAGATAAAGACGGAAAATGAGGGAATCACTTAGAAACTATAATAGAAACAACCTCAGCACTACTAACATCGTGGACCTGGTGACTGTTGTGGGGGCTGTTCTGTGCATTGTAGGATGTTTAGCAGCCCACTAGATGCCGGTAGCATCCTCCTCTCAGTTTTGACAACCAAAAATGTCTCCAGACACTTATAGATGTCCCCATGAGACAAAATGTTCCTGGTTGAGAACCCCTGCTTTGTAGCAATTTGACAGACGAATTTTATGTCTGTTGTATCTAATAATATAAAATATAATTGGGGCTTGCATTGTTATGCCTTTTTATTTCATTTTTCTAGTAATTTGTTGTCATATTTTACAATTAATTTATGACAGATTAGAAAATTTGGTTCTTCCCCACAGATAGCTTTAACAAAAGGTCATTGTTAAAATACAGAGTAGTTCATAGAAGGAATGCTATGATCTTGGGCTATCCTAAATCTCTCTGCCATAATAATCAAGTCATTACAAGCCAACTTATTAAGAAATTAACCAGATTTTCTTTTTAATGTGTTTGCTCCTGTAGCCCACCATGGAAAACTTGACAGCACTCTCACCATTGCTAAAAAGAAAAAACAGCCAGAACTAGGCTCTCCATCCTCCAGTGAGAGTAAGCTGTTCTTTTGTGTTTCCCAGGACAGGTGAGAACCTGCTGGGGAGGGGGTGGGCCAGCACAGAAACGACCTTAAAATTCTTATGACAGAAAAGCCTAGGTCGGAGGACACAAACCGTCTAGCCACCAGCAGAATTTGGCCTACAAACGGGTTTTATTTGGCTCCCACACTGATTTTTTTCTTTTCTTTTTTTAACGCCTATAGCACCTGGTCTTCCTAGGTGGTCTCCCATCCAAGTACTATCCAGGCCCAACCCTGCTTAGCTTCCGAGATCAAATGAGATGGGGCACGTTCCGGGTGGCATGGCCATAGATCAAACTTCTTTTCATAAAAATCTCATTCTTAGTATCTCTTGAAAAATCAGAACCTTTTGGCCACAGTGGCCTGGCTTCTTTCACTGTCTTAATCAGCTGAAACTGAAAAGCAGCTACTATCCTTAGCCCTCTTCTTCTGTCCCCTGACGCAGCCCACTTCCTGGCGCGTGTAGGCATGTGGTTGGCAGTGCCTGGCCTATGTCTGCAAAGCAATTAAACTGGATATTTGGAGAAATGAAGAGAACAGAGAATTTGACCTTTGAGGGTAGAAAAAGATGGGGCCAAGGACTCCCCAAGCCTGGAGGCATGTCAGAGGTTCAAATGGTCGCAGTAACTAGGTCCTGGCCCAGGTTCTGGGCCATGGAGATAGGCAGGCTTCAAAAAGGGCTGGCAGTGTAGGCACTTCTATAGATGGGTACAGATGCCTATGCCTGATCTTTCTGACTATTCCACTGGAAGCTGAGCCACAATGATGCTAGTCTGCCAGGGCAGTGATGACCCTTACTAGCTGGTGTGCAGGACTCTCTCCCACCACCAATTACTTGGTCTTATAAAACTTAAGAATCTCCTGCTAGACAATGCCTAACCAACCTGGCAAGTGAGTGCTCGAGCCAAACATAATGGGCCTTAGGAAAAAAAGTAACTGTGATAGTGATTGTGTGCTGAGTGCCAGGGAGCAATTGCCATCTGTTAGAGAAACACTTAGTATCTGCTGCGTGCAGGCTCTGAGGCTACAAAGACAGATCAGGCAAATCGGTGGTCTTTGCTCTGTAATGCTCTCAGCTGAGGGATGGAGACAAATGTATAAAAAGGTTATTAGGACACACTGGGTAAATGCTGTTTCAGAGGGGAGAATTAACTGCTGGAGCAGCCAAAGCATAAGTAACTTAGCCTCTGCTTG